TACCTCCTCACAACTTATGTTCTCCTGATACAAATTTTCAAAATTGGGTCCTGAAATTTCAAAAATCGCGCCTCGGAATTTCTTGGAAATGACGTCATTAAAATTCCAAGAAGTGGCACGAAAAATACCTCCTCACAACTTATGTTCTCCTGATACAGATTTTCAAAATTGGTCGGTAGAATTTCAAAAATCCCGTCTCGGAAATTCTTGGAAATGACGTCATGAAAATTCCAAGAAGTGGCACGAAAAATACCTCCTCATAACTTATGTTCTCCTGGTACAAATTTGAAATATTTTGTTTTTTATTTTTTATTTTTGAAAATTTGGGGCAATTTCTGGGGATGGGAATGACGGGATTTATAAATAAATAAATATGCGAATACATGGTTTTTATTCATATTTATTTTCAAACACTTTTGTACATCAAATGACTTAATACATTTTATTAATATATAGATACATTATTAACACTTAATTCTAGGACGGAATTATTATCATAATAGGATTATCATAATAATATGTATATATTATGTTATAGAAGAAAATGTGATGAATACATAAATCTCAGGATTGCTGCTTGCGCTGCATTAAATGTCGTTCACATTAGGCTGTTTTGACATGTACTTGCCTAATCTGAACGACCTCTTATGCAGGGCCGCCGCAGCGCCATCTACTAGTGAAGTCTGGAACTAAATAGAAACTTTGCTGAAGGTACATTACCGTTGAAGTGTAATCAACTAATTACCGACAGAATCCGGTCGGTACTTTACACGTGTTCCTCGTAGTTCAACAGTTTGTTGTTAGATGGCGCTGTCAACAGAATTTGTGGCGGGTTTTTTAAAAGATTGTTTCCTTTTTTCTTGATGTATTCGTATGCGTATAATTTTCAATAATTCCTATACTCTATACTCTATGGTGATCATCAGAGTCATCAGTCAAGATGAGTTCTCTTGTCAAAATCATCGATCAAGAAGAATTCTATATGTACTTGTGAATACATGATTAATATTTAAAGTTGTCGTGCATAGCACGGGGCGTTGCACTAGTATTGAAATAAAGTAAAATTGTAACTGGGTACATTTCATATAAAATACACACGTATAATTTATATAAAGACAAGCTTTTTTATTCGTAAAGAAAACCCATATAAAAAGTGTAAAAGTTCGTAGATAAAATTGTCATTACATGATTAATGTTAAATACTAAAACATTGGACGGACGTTTGTCTTTTTTTACATTAAAAATAATTCAATCTTCGATCTGCATGTGTTACGAAACGTATTTTAATCCAAATTTTATTGTCACAATTTACGCATTGTATATTAAAGAAGAATAGAATTACTTTGCCAATTTTCGTGACACGATGTTTTAAAATTTGACCGGATACGATTGCACGTACAAATGGACGGAATTGTTAGAGATACTTATACTATATATAAAAAGGTAACATATAAAAGATATGTAGCATTAACTTTTAAGACACACAACTATGCTACTTTAAAATCGAAGAAAGATGTTACTTTGTAGATATTCATTTAAGCGATTATCTATGAGATTCTGATGCTTAGATATAAAATAAGCATGTTCCTACGTGTTAAAGTTTTGATTTAGTTTCAATTTTTTATAATGCAAACAGATCTGTAATATGATATGAAAACAAGTGGTGATATCTACTTCTTTTTACGCCATAGAGACAGAAAGTTTTCGAGAATATGCCTTCTCTTCCCATTCTTGATCGGAAGGTAACGGCGAATGCCGTAATTTACAAATACGAGATCCGTATTTTAGTAGAATCATTATAACGCAAACAACGAAAAGCGTTAAACATGTTGTTGCTGGCCAAAATATATGTAGTCCCATCTTGGCGTAATTTTCTACTTAAACTACTTTTCAAACTTTATACTTCTATCCTGTGTACTTCTTCTATACTTGCTACTTTTCAACTTTGGCTATATAATGTACCAGTTTGTATTACAATGAAATAAAAGTGATGTTCTTAATTTAACACTAATACTTTTTAAGAATTTTATACTTTGTTACTCACAAAGTAACTGGACAGAAACTAAATTTCACTTTCACGTTTTTGCATTTCCATGTACTCTTGTGATTGCGGTGCAGGGCTGTAAGATTTAGGATTATGGTATTGTAAAACTTCGTGAGATTCTTCGGGTTGAAAAGCACGTCCTGGTTCCAATTCGCTCAAGTCCAAAGGTGGTGTTTTATGAGGTAAAACTGTCCACAATGGTTGAATCCACCTGTTTCCTAAAAAACAATGAAATTAATATGAAGTTGAAATAAATGAAATCCCTTGAGTAAAACTAAGAACTTACCAGTATGTGGGCTTTGCCAGTAACTTCTGTGGCGTGAACACCAACAAAATCCGATATTTAAAATACACAGGAACACGAATACCAGAGAACAGATAGAGACAGCGATGTAAAATGGAGTGAAATCACCGTACTCATGCTTCACAAAGTATGGGTTCTTCAGATAATCTTCTCTTTCGTCTAGAACGGACATTTTATAAATTTTAATCTCAGTTTCTTCTGAAAAAAAAAACAGAGATAGTGTTCTCTTCAGTACATCAACTTTCACTGAAATTATTTATTAATGAAACTATAGATTTACAAATCGACTGAAGAGAATAAATATTTCTTTTACGTGATTCATAAAATTTGTTAAAGCAAAAAATCTCACGTCATCCGCATTTAAGAGACCGAAGGCGTGGCGTTAAATTACAATTATGAAATTAGGACTATGGTAGAGCACATGGGTACTGGATGCTAATGCTTGCACTTGAATCGTGTTTGTATTGATAATAACAATGGAACTTGCAATACATTCAATTTATTTTAATAAATTACAAGCTTAATTTACGGAAGGGTCTTCAGGGCTTTCTAATGAACAAGTAAAATTGACACGTAAACATGATATAATGCATACCTTAAGGTTTGTTACTTTCTTTTATCTTTGTACTGATTATTAGTGAAACTTGAAGTAATTTAAAATCGTATATAAGTCGAAATCAGTATTATTAAAGATACTACGTCTGTCATACACACTACGAGCATCACTTTAATACGTTAGAATCTGTTACACCAAGTTGTATTTGGGCGGGGCGTTTCATGTAGTGGGAGAAATGAATGCTTTACACATCGTTCGCATGTAGCGATGTAGTGAACTGATACTGTTATTTCAATGCAAATTAAATAACACGATTTTATCCAAGAGGTGAGACATGGAAGTGTGTTCCATGTGGTTCTATATATTTAGCTTTGCTTTAACATAAGTTAGATCATAATATTCAATGTTTTATAACAACACGTGCACTATAAATTGGGGTTCCCCAAAAAAAAATGCAGCTAAGAGGAATAGATCCCTATGACCCCAATTAGCATCGATGCATTGGGGCGCATTATGTCTAATTTACAATAAGCATTCTCAAAATTGATAAATAATAAAATATTCGCAAGTACCTGCTTACTTGTAAAAGCAAGCTATTTTATTACTCTGGCAATTTTCTGTAACTTTAAAAATCTGAATTTTCACACGTGCTGTCTGTAAACGGCGCCACTAGCGTCATCTAGCGGTCATGGCGCTAATGGTACCACTTTCGGAAAACGCGCGAAAATGGATATATCCTATTGCAATTTTCATAACGGAAGAATAGGTAAAAATAAAGTACAAATTCCTAAATATTGTGAAATTATAAAATTTTAATATTATTATATTTCATTTTTCGTAGCTATTATACACATATTTTCCAGAGATACTTCTGTAGTGGTATAATATATTAAGTTACTTTGGAACCCAACACTCCTCAAATATTCTAATCGACCCCAATTTAATAACATTTTCACTTTACGACCGATATTTTCTCTGTCATTCGCAGTTAATGTTCGTATATTCGTTCTGAAAAGAAAGTAGTACAGACTGGAGTGATTAAATTAAGTATAGCAAATATTACCTGGTATCCTTCAAATTATCTTGATCACTAGTTTTAGTTATAGTACTGAGACCACAGGTTGCCCAACTAGCAATGCTACATAAGATTGTAAATTCATTAGGAGTAAATCCACATTGTTTTAAATAATTTTTTCCAACATATGATGCATATTCGCATCTATGGTGACAACAAAATGCAATGATTAATCCAGTAATGTTGCATTTAGGTTCGTTTTGCATTGCATGAATCAAACAATTTATAGTTAAATCTATAAACAATATTGCTTACAACATCTTTTAAAAATTATACTGTTATTGCAATCATATAGTGTACCTGTAGCTGTACCACACAAATGTTTAGCAATACCAACTTTATAGTCAAATTTCTGTATTTCTGTAATGTCATTTAATTTTAAATCAGCAATATCAGCACGAATTCTTTTGATCACAAGAGGAAGCTGCTCATTTCTTAATTTATTATCACTCTTATGTCTATGACTTGAGCGATCCACTAATAAAATACAGCTATTTTTTCTATCCTTTATCATTTTTCCCAGCCAGTAGGTTAATTTACCCTTTCCAGCTCCAAATTCCATAAAACATGTATTGTCTTGTACAAGACCTGCATGTTCTAAATGAGATAATAATGAAGAATTTTGTAGCAAATGCTTCCTATTAGCTTTGCCATAAGATTCATCATTTAATACATCTCTGAGTATCTCATGTGATCTTACTATTTCAGGTACTTCAGGTAACTTCTCTAAAAATGGAATAAAAGAAACACTTCAACCCAGAATTTAGAATGAAATATTTTATATAAATTACGAACCATAAGCAGTTATAACTTTATCTATAACTGCATTTACTAGTTCCTCATCAAGTTCACAAAGTGGTACATGCTGAGGTGTTTCACATGTTTTGTCAACATTAATTCCCTTTACTATGAATGATGGCTGTGCATCTATCAATCTTTTTGCATTACATACCTTCAAGTGTTTGGATAACTTTGATTCAAAGCATGTACTACAAATGATCTATAAATTTTATATGTATGAAAGAATGTTTGTACCATATTTTATTAGAAATGTACTTACTGCGTAGGATCAAGTGGACACTTTATCCTTTTATTTTTGAGTTTATTGTCTTTGGAATGTACAGATTCCATTAAGTCTTCTTGGTGTTCACCGCAATATTTATTTCCTTGTTTTACGGTCATACGACAATAACGCTTTTTTCTTTTTACGAAATACATACAGTGATTATCTTCCATAGTTTAATTATAATATTTAACAATAAGTAATAAGACAATCACTGTGTGTTTATAACCTATACTTTTCACAAGAGAAGCGTCGTGCCGAATGACGAATTCTCGTTCGTACTGCGCAGGTATCGCTCATTTTTAAAACTGTGATGTCGTTGAATCTTTGTGGAATTAAAATTTTTTTAAGGTTGAATATATCTATTAGGAAAATATGACATAAAGGAAGGTGGCACAAAATGAAAAATAAAAGTTTAACTAAATTTTTTTTATGGATAGTATACATAATACAAATACATAACATTATGTTATAATGAAAGCACTTTTCTTATGAAAAACTATAAATATCAGAAACCACATTTAAGATTCATGAACTCATTCTTATATAGTTACTAGTATAAGTGGCCGGGATTATAATGGCACATAAATACAATGTCTTATTATAAAACTACCGTTTCGTAGTAAAGGAAATAGTATGATGAAAACGGTATAAATGCAGTGTATAATGCGTAATTAGAGTGGAGTCTTGCTATATGACCGCGTATACAGTTGTATGATTGAGCTAAAGAATTGTCTTTTACTGTCATTAATAAAGAGCCATTTAACGAGACTCCACTGTATAATATCCACTAAATACATTGTAAACAATTACACTATGTATATCCCTCAAACACAACGTGAGAATAGAATTTTATAATTTTTTTTTGATGCAACAATTTAGAAAAATATTAATTATTCAAAACGTTTCCGAATATCGTCAATTTTGAAAATGTCTAAAGTAAGCATAGATCACTGATCTATGATATTATAAATACTTGCTGTCAACAAAAATTACCTACATTATTCTATAAACTTATCACATTTTTATTTAATGCATGCAAACTGGAGGTCTGCAAAATGTTGAGCACTTCTTAATATCAAAGTAATTGATATATTCATTATCGAGCACATTAATTATGCAAGAAGTCTTATTTTCTTAGTATAAAATTTATAGTCTATTTTATGATAATAAAATAACAGTGATATGTTATCTTATGTTTAAAAATCTTTAACTAATTACCGATATCAAATCATAACAATTAGTAATAGCAAGCAGTACTTATAATATTACTTCACGTTTTCATCCATCAAATTAAAAGACTTTAGTCATCCCTCTAATAATGGCAAATCATTATAATCAAGACTGTAAGAAAAAATAAAGATAAATAAGGTATAAAATGTAAGGCTATATGATCATTAAAATAAGAGAATAAAAAAAATTAAAAACTAAACCGAGAATAGTCAAAGTACTTAGCATGCAGAACATATAAGAAACAAGGATAAAAATTATAACTTCGCGAATAGATCATTCAAAAATCATAACAAAGATCATTGTTTCTTATTGACTAGACCCTGTACGATAATTTACTTATTAATCACCATTGTCTAACATAACGATCTAACGATAAGTGAGCAATAAAAGATGCGTAACGTTCCTCCACCTTTTTCTAATGTCTTATATAAAAAAAACTTATATCTTAAGTAGAATATGTGAAGTCTTTACCGTGTAAATTTGATGCTGACTCTCTCGTGCAAGGCATATTTTTTTTTAAGACAACATTAAATTGCAATATTCAAATTTTTGAGATCATCAATCGTTGTTCAATAAGTTTACATTCATCGATATTTTTTGCGAGATCAAAATGTTTGAAGCCCTCAGTCGCTCTCTGTTCTCGCCATTGCCCGATTCAGGTGTTGAACCACTGTTTCGAGGGTTGTTATTATTTTCTTCTTCGTGACTGGTAGAAGATGAAGAAGGGTTACTCGTCTGTACTAAGACGGTGTTCGTATTATTATCCACTTGTTCAATTTCGTATTGAACTACGTTTCCATTAGTAACTTCAAGCGTCAATTGTCTATAAGAATACAATCGCATATTATAATGTAGTACGGATATGTACATATAGAATATAAATGTTTAATAATTATTTACTCCGGAGGCCAAGGGTTAGATTGATCATCGGCTGGTGGCACCTCGACCACCGATTGCAATTGGCCCATTATTGTCCTATTCTCATTGCTTAAATTGGTTTCATAATTCGGATTCGGGCGAACCCAACTTGGAGTCTTGAAAGGAGAAGCGGACACAAGATTGTTCCTATCCTTTAGATTTTTATTATTATTACACGGCACGTGTGCCAGCTCTTCTCCATAACTAATGAATGGACCTGTGAAACACACAGAGCATAAATAAACGTGACAAATATTCGATTAATACAGTCGTTGTAATCGAAAGTACATAATTCCATACATATTATTACCACGTTTTGAACAGCTCGTAGTTAATTCAGCGTTCAAGTAGGTAGGTATACTGTAATGAAATAATTGTGTTTTTCGTATAAAAAAAAGTTAACCGTTTCCATTCACGGTTAGTATTACTAACATGTACAAGAAACTGTTAAGAGTGCGAAAAGGCAAAGAAGCAAGCTACAGTGCTAATGTTTTTATCAATTGCCGTCGATCTGTTGGATCTTCCTTTGTTATGACATATACATAATTACGTACACGCGTTAAATGAAAGTGTCATTTTGGGAAAGGAATTTACCCTCAAATGGACGGCGAACGTCAATCTACCTACTCGTTTACAATAAATGTAGTGACTACGTTTGCGTCGAGTCGTGATACCTGTTTGCGCCAACTACATTGAGTGTAGTTAAGGAATTGTGATAATGTTTATGATAATTTTAATAACACTCACTAGTTTCCACTGGTGGAGCACTAGGTTCAGTGACACAGAGATCTCCACATTGCTCTGGGTTATTATTCCGTCGTTTCGACGTTCCTGAAACATAGTTTTCAGGTTATTTTCATAGTTTTCATGACTCCACAATAAAATCACAGGTTACATATTTATGTTATAAACGCTCTACTTACGTTTTCTAAGGTAGATGATAACACCAATTATTAGTAACAAAAAGACAATCAGTACGCCTCCAGTTATACATATGATAGTAATATTATTCAGTCTGCCTACTACATCTGTAACAACCAAAATAAGGATAAGAAATATCAGTTACAACTTGTATTCAGTTAATAACAATATGTTTTAATACTTACCTGGTACATTTTTTGGCACATTGGACTTCTTGCACAACCATGCCATTTCTCCAGTGCCGAGTTCCTCGGCACTGAATCTGAAAATGATTTTTTTAGATACTTTCTGTTTCATCACAGATGGAGAACATTATTCGTTCTATTGATGCAACTCCATTTTTAAGGAAGTTGAAGAAACTCTAATGAGTTAAGATAGATTTTTGTAACTACAAGTATTAGAAAAATAGCTATAGTTACCCGAAAAGGCATGGTCCACATTGAGAGGGGTGTCTAGCTTTCCTCTCGCGGTTTTCTTGCCGGTTATATCGCCGGCATTCTGTGTAATCTACGCATCGTGCAGATACATCGTAACAATATTGTTTTTGGGGGCAATCGTTGTCATCACGACAAACGCCTTCCTCTATCGAAGCCTGTAAAAAATAAATTTCAAAATTATTTCCTCTTATAACTTCGAGTTTGTTATATCGAAAAAGTATTCCTTTGACAAACCCTCTAAAACTTAATCATAATAATTAAAGTCTGAGGAGTGATCTTATAAGGAAGTTGAAGAAAGTTTATACAAATATATTTTTAGGAAATTCAACAATTTTATACAATAAGATTTTGTAATTTTATTCAATCCGCAACTTTTAAGACTGAGTCGAAAACTTGAGTTTTAATTTTTTCTTTTAAATAAATTTCACTTGTTAAATACAATAAATATAATCCACTGTAAATTTCTTGATGACTCAATAATATCAATTGCGTATCGATTACATCATTAGTAAAAGACAATAAACTACACTATATAACAATTTTTCAATTCGTTAAAGAATAAGTTATGATGTCTGAACGTAATGAAGCCTTAATCTCGTGACTTAAGATTATTCGTATCAAGATGATGAGTTAATCTGATGTTAATTCGTTTAATTGGAGCATTGTTTAGCTTTATTATTTACTAAAGCGCACGAGTGACATGTAAGATAACAGTGTTATGAACTAGTACCCCAATCTCCAGTTATATTCGATTTTTTTGAAACGGGTACGATAGCGGTACGCATGGCATTTCCGGTCTAGCCCTCAAGGTTCTGATGGATCCCTGAGATTCATATATCGACTTAAAATCGATTGAGAGAAAGATTTCGTTTCACTAAAGACTCATCTACTATTCTTTAATCGACTACGTTCGAAATAATTGCAAAATATTCACAAAAAGTACCATTGAAGTTATAACAAAATCAATTGTACCATTTTTTACTTGTCTACATACTAAAAGAATTCAGAATAACGTAACTTCTTTATAAAAACCAAAAAAAATTCAATATTTCGTGATTTTATATTAAATGAAGTACTAAAACAATTTTCCCTAAAACAATTTGCGCATCTAACATAAATATTCAATGAAACATAAATTTTATGGAGTTTATCAGTTTGAACATAATCTAAGAAGTTAACTTTGTGAAAAATATAAAAAAATTTGTAATATTATTATTGTTTTATACTAAAAAAAAAATATGTAGTAGAATGATTTTGCACAAGTGGTGATCCGCCATTTTGTTTGGTACCAGTCACCATCTTAGAACCCGTACGTTCACCGTGGATCTTAAAATGGATGCTGATGTAATCCGAATGCATCGGAGTCATTACCCTCCTTTCGGACTATAATAATTCGAAAACGATATAAACCACCGTATGTGGCGCGTTCAAACGAAGCCGCCACATTTTCAAACGATGAAATATTTACGATTCAAATCACGAAATATACTTAGCACTGTGATTACTTTTATCTTGAGTTCAGCATCCATTCCGATTAAAATATCGATTATCGCGTACTCAAATTCCTGAATTTTTTTTTGTAATAAAAAATGCAACGAATAACACGAAAAGGAGTCGATACAAGATAATTGCAGCAGACGCTTAATAATACTGAGTTAGTTGTTATACAGTAATGGAAGTAAAAAATGCTTTCTATATCAGATAACGAAATTGATAAGAAGCATTTTCCGATAAGCTTCCGGCGAATCTGTCAAATTTTATCTTTTGTGCACTTCTTCCCTTATATTAGAATAAAAATTGCATGAAACAAAGAAATCTGTTAGTAACAAAAACTTCGAAATTGATTTACCTTGAAATCGGTTAACGACATTTACCGGTCAACAACTCGCGTGATATATGTGTCAGTTATACGCAAAAACAATAAAAACACTTTGTAAATTGTTAAATAAAATAAAAATTCTGTATGAAATAACGACTGTAAAAGATGGAGTATCGTTCTATTAATAATAACGGGCCAAAGTTAAAAAGTAATTGCTTCTTCGCATCTGTATATCTTGTTTCTATGATGGTTGCGGAGATTCCCGAACGAAAAAGAAAAACGGGGGTCGCATGACTCATCGTCGCGCGCGTCCAATGTGGTACCGAGAATTGTGGAACACATATTCCGGTTCTAGTAATAAGACCACAGTGTGATTTGTACAAAATACTGCGCATTAAAATATTCGGCAGTTATTTATCTCGCGTATGTAACTTTGTATAAGTGAAAGCCAATTAAAGCGCTCATTATACACTAACAAGCACTGGCGGTGACTTCTATACATACACGTAATTTTAAACTTGACTTTGTAAAACAAATAATTATACATCAAACAGGGCACAATTTAAGGGACCATTTTTTTACAAAATATTATTTTATTAAATTGCAAAAAGTATGATGAAATAGTGGTGAAAGATTACGATCTAATTTTAACTAAAAAAAAAAAAAAAGCGGGAGATTAATAATGATCAAGGAAGAGATTTTTATATTGGTAGTATACAATCTGGTGTCTTTTATTGCACATGCAGCAATTGTAACACCAATTTGTTCACAAGGGACCCCTGGACGTATGTAAATGTGTATACACTGCCGTTGACATGTGTTTAGCACCATATATAATTTGACACCGCAATCGTGTTCTGAATATCAAAAGCCATCAATAGTTAATATCCTTACCAAACACTTCCATTTAAGCAAATATATCGTGTCAAATAAAACTATTTACTCCTGCATCGCGTATGACAGGTAAATAGAGGAAATTTATATTTTTTTTTTATATTAACGGTGAATTAATTTTTTTCTCTACTTACCATTTGGAGATAAAAATTGAAACTTCCGACTGAGTGCAAGTAATAACATTAAACGGCTCATTCGCACACGAACACCCGCACCGTTTGAAATTCACCTGTACTCTGAGGCTGTTGCTAATCGCCAGAACCGGCGTATACTGAACGCGTTCAGACCTGCTCATGGCGAGTCAGGTGGTGGGGGCGGCGGGCAGTGGTGTAGCCGCGGTTTTCCGAACCTCCATTTCTCGTTAACAATAGAGCAGGTCTCGTTGAGTAGTCTGCAAGTGGAGGACAGGCAGGGACGGCGCGAACATTTGCGGAGTTGGATTCAAAAGTGTCGGGCGCCAAAAAGTCCGATTTACTTCTAATACGATACAGAAATCGTATTAGGTATCTTAGATTTCAAATGACCAAGTAATCTGAAGTTCTAAGAACTTTATTACTTGAAACCGCGGCCCTGGTGTAGTCCGATTACATTCGGGCAATGTCGGAAAAATGACCGAGTGGACCCGAGAGAATTTTCTAGAAAGCTGGTTACATTCGGATAAAGTCGGAGAAAATCGGGAGGATGAAGAGAATTCTCTAGAAACCCGATTTTATCCGATTCGAGATTTAAACTGAGCCGATCTTCGCCGATTTCGCCCGAGAGTGGTCAAGCGACTTGAAATGGTAGTATTTAAGGGGCCCATGCAATTCGGGTCAGTGGCCGAGATCGCCCGACTTTTACCGACCCTGAACTCTGGAGCTGGGATACTCTTCGCAGTCGATTATCAACAAATTACTGAATATTTTGTACCTAAATCTTATAGATATGTAATTTTATAGTAATTTTGTAACCATATGATAGTATGAATAAAACTACATAACATTTATGATAAAACTTTTACAGACCACGGAGCCGGGTTCCACGGAACCCTACTAGCGCCGGCCCTGAATAGAGGACCAATGTACGCAGTTTGAAATCTTACCGGGGTTGAAAATATCTATACAAAAATCGATACCGATTCAGACCTTGAACTCGGCTTCAGTTTAATTTCTACTTTTCAAAATTGTAAACACTAAATCCTTCTCAATTCACCATTCAATATAAATTATAGTTCCGTTTTTATTATAAACATTTGTTCATGATTGTATAATAAAAAAAGAATGCATAAATGATTCTTTTATGCACGTAAATAAATTGTATAGAAACAATCTTGATTCGATTTGAGGATGTATCATAAGCCACCAACCGCACGCGAAACTAATACAAACGTATCGCCTATTACGTTATAGAACACTATAAAGGGCCGTCTTTAGTAATTACAATTATCAGAGTCGATGTTGATTTATTCACTTATACATGTGTTTTTTATATCACGTATGGTTCTTATCTCATACATATTCTTATTATCAATTTTATTTAACATTACAAGTAAATGAGTAAATGTTTTTACAGTATTTACACGGATTTATTGAAGGTGAATTATTTAAAAACCAAATTTAATGAAGTAAAAAACATAATATGTATTTCTCATTTTAGTATATATGTACATACACTGATAAAATGGGAACAGCCTTATTTCTATCGATTTACGATACATTAATAAGCCATAATATAATACTTAAAGTACTAAACACAAAATTTTAAACGTTTTTAGAATATGAACAACTCTCCTTTTTTTGTTAGCGACCTGCGTCCAAGATTATTAATGCTAAACAAAACATTCTTCAGCATATTTAGTTGAATTTATAGTATTAATCAGGTAGTCCCTTTTCTGCTCAAATTATACTGTTCATAATTATATGTAGTAAATAATTTTCAATGCAAATAGTTAAGCATCAATATACATTAACAAAGATAATCGTAATTGTATAAAGTTTAAATTATCATATTGCCTATTTTTAAACTTCTTCATAACTTATGAGTTTATCTCAACAAAAAAAGAACCGATTAACAAATATACCGTACAAAAGTTTTCTATTTTTTACAATTCTTTCTTTTTTTGAGGTATCCAAATATATGAACCATTTGAATCTTCATTCCAGGCACTACTTCATTCCTCTTATTATGGTCTGTGCTAGCTCATTCGTCACTGGCAGTTAACTTTAATTTACATTACTTCCATACTATTGTGTGTACTTTCTGTAAAGCCCAACGTAGATGTTGGTGCATCTTGCGACGTTTCTTCCATGCTTTGTGCATCCATGCCTTCTGGTACATTGTTTGTCGTCGAACTAGCTCCATCATCCCAATTGATTTTAAATCTAGTGACACGTGGTTTATCTCCTAAGATGTTTCGTTGCACCTTGTCAAACTGAGGCTGAGGTGGTGGATTTTCTCTAAGCTCTGCGTCTGTGTATTCGTTATTTATGAAATAACCAACACGCACAAACTCATGTCCTCTGTATGAACAAGTTAATAAAACAACCGTAACACCTAAAGCATCATTAACTGGAATTCTACTGACATCCGGAGGATCAGCCTAAAATAAACAATAATTTTAAGTATTATTAGTAAAGAACTTGATTAATGATTTCTGCTTTGTAATTTCGATTCAAATTCAAATTCTGTTATCAATTTACCTGAAATATAAACATATGCCTTCCCTCTGGGATTGGACCAACATAAATTGTGTCTAAAACTTGATCGAAATCTTCGGATTCGGCACTGCCGACGTAGATCATCTTCCATTCTAAATCTGCAATGCCATTATTATCATGATTAAATGTTATTTGTTTACGATGGAATGATTCCGGATATAATCATCAAAAGCATCTATTCGATTAAGACGATATCGATCTTTGATTGTACAACGAAATCATAAAGAAAAAACAATATACAGACTCGTCCTTGGAAAATTCACTATCAGACTTTGAAGCTAACCTAGCATCGATGCTAAAAATATTCAAGCATGTATTTACTTCTCACAACGTTCATATAGCTGTACACTCGTATTTAAGATGGAAAATAAAACTAAATAAATCACCTTCTTTTAGTTCTTCGATGCACTCAAAAGTAACTTCGAACTGAAATGGATTTAGAAACGGCGAAGGATTATCGAGAACAGCTACATTCGCTAGCTGAACTTTGGCCATCGTTAACTTTGTTTAATAGTTGATTTTACTGAAAGACACGAATTTCACTGCCACAATACTGTGAAACAGTTTATCCGACTGCTCTTTGTATATCAAATTTTCGAATTAATCTTTTACAAAACGAAGAATCTCGAATCAAAGGATAAACAATTTCATCACAACACACAGCTCGCTTTGGCGGCAAACGAACCAAAGGACGTTTCCGGTGTTTCGGGAACTACCGAAATTTTATGTGGTGTACGCATCACAACGCTAACGTACATTTCAAAAATCGCTCTCTTAAATACGGCGCCGATTTTAAGGAAATCTACAAGGCTTTTCACGATCGATTTTCTACGAATTTCAAAAATTAACTCTCGTTCTTTATTACAGTTACCGGTGGTAAAACAAATCATTCGCGTCTCATTTACTTGAAATGTTAGCGCGATCGATTTGAATCTTTCTTTCACGATTCAAACTTGGAACATCAAAATGCAAAGTTTTTAAACTTATAGAAAAAGAGGATTAAACACGTGTATATAAATTTAAATTGCACGTGGAATTTGAAAAGTAAGTCGTGGGTCTACCCGTCCTTAAGGGTTATTCACAATACAGTTGGTAGAAATGTACGTTTTGTAGATCCAATGACGGGGGTCAATAAAAATGGACAAATTATTACTAATTTTTCATTCGTCGATCAAAATGTTTATTACTTTCTGATTTGTTAAATAAACTTGTAATAATAAAATATGAAAAGAAACTAATGAGGACAGTACGTGCTGTCAAATATGATTTTGTGTAAATAATTTTACTGAACGTTTAACTGCATAATATAGTACATTCTTATGCAGTGTAATATTTAAGAGAATATTCACGAATGTTTAAAAATATTCGAATGTAGAAAGTGTTATCATCTGTCGGTATGAAATTTTGTAGCATTCTATTAGTGCTTCTACGCTCCGCCATCAGATGTCTAGACCTTTAAAATAATTTGAAAAACGTGGGGTTAATTTAAAAGTATGATATAGTTTCCTTCTTTTTATTATTTCCATTTTAGTGTAACAACTTTACGTCTTCACTACTTTATTGTTATCAACAGTTCCTTTTTGTTTCTGTATATTATAAAACGTAGAAGATGACTAAATCTAAACGTTTTCCGCGCAAAAACTAGATTCACTATTTGAAACAACCAAGGTTGTACACATAAGTTTTATTAAATATTATTTTTTATTTACATTATTCCCGGTATATTTACGATTTTTCTATACAGGATTGCTTTTACATAACGACATAGGCCGACGAACAACTCAGCCTTAAATAGTTTCCGCTTTTTCTGCTCCGTTTCTTTTAATTGACGATACGGATTTAAACAGGAGAAGCGCACAGACGCTCCGTTGTTCGTTGCAAGTAGTACCGTTTAATTTATAGCCAATTCGATGACAATACGGATATAAAAAAAAATGATTTATAACATCAAGAGGGATGCGTGGGAATGTTGTCCTTTTAAGGCGTTTATGAACTAATCTTAATTCGCATAAGTATCGATAAAAAAAATTGTTAAAAACTAATCCGATTTTACTGAACAATGAAGGAATAAAATATGTAAATTTAAAAAAAGTTGCGCGGATATTCGAACACATGAAATTCTTTGCAGAGTAAAAAAGTCAAAGGATAGAGAAGACTCTTCTCCGAACGATAAGTAGTCGTCGATGAATTAGGGAAACATAAGGTGTTTCGCAAAAAAAAGCTTTTATTTACATTTGTTCCTCGTTTTTTTCTTTTCAGCGCTATGTTTTTAATCTAAAATTGCAATAAAATCCCACAAAATCGATTCGCATTCACACTGAATACCCTTTTTCTGCTGTGGAATGTTTCACATAATAAATACAGCTTTCGACATAAATTAAAAACGAATGTCTTGCATTTACAACCGAGAACGATGAGGGTTAGAGGGGTTACGTGTATACACGCGTGTGTCTGTTTCGAATGACTGTCGATGAATGTCGTGTACGTGTCGATGAATGTAGTGCTTTCATGTTTGTTTGTTGCACGCGAATTCTGGTACGTGCCGGATAGAACAGCGACGAGCGGATCAAGAGCCCGTGGAGGTGCTCACGGGCACGGGCGTGTACGGTGACAACATGCGTTACTATCGGATTCACCAAGATTTGAAATTTACAAACTTCCAACAGTCGTAAAGGTCCTCTTTCTAAAAATTCTCGATTCCTGTCGGTTCACCGTGCTTGTCAGCTCGCACGCCCGTGCAACGTGCCCCTCGGAGCCGCAGTTGCCCGTCGCTGCGATAGAACGTACGATATCGCAATGAATTTTATATCTACTCACGACGAGCCCGTATACCTTATTTACAATGTCCATATAAACATACACATTGCGCTGTGATCGCTTAAATCTAAATCGATATTACGAAGTGAAGAAGGTAGAAAGTACCGTTTTGTACCTTTAGGTTCTGCGAAAAGAAACGCGTACTCGATGTCATTAGGATGATCGAAAACGACGACAACGACGACGACAAACGTATAAAAGAAAAGAAACGCAAAGAGGAGACGGAAATAATGCTGGCCTGTGAGCGAAAGTTTGAAATCCTTCGCGTGGTGTCTCCGATGCGCGGAGAGGAAACATCGTTACATCGTGGTGCTGGTCGCTCGACATTGAATTCGTTAAACAGAAATCGCTGATATCCGTCCCGTACGAGCGTAGCACAGCTTCTACCGGCTATATAATATTATTCGACGTAACTGAACATCGGAACAGGGTCTTCTTAAATGCAACCTTAACCGCTAAATAAATCTTACAATTGGACTGTGAACGATATAAATTATTATCGACTGTACAACGCTGTAGTCTTCTTTTATTTCTTCTTCATCTTCTTCTTCGTCGACTTCTGTCTCTTCTCCTTTGTTTCTTTTTTTCGTTTTCTTTCGACTCGACAACAGAAACAGTATACATATATATCCTACCTCGCTCGGAACTCTTCGTCGAGATTACAAAGAAACTCTTCGATTCGCCTCGTGCGCTTTTTTTTCATCGTATTGTTTGGACCACATTTGAATAAGTTTTCCATTTTCTCTCCCCCACTAGTTACAAAATATACTTCCTGTAGAGCGAGTTTCGCCGTTGAACGTATTACGCGGATCTCGCGGAGGGACACGCGTGTCCTCGAACACAGCTGATCCGGCGCTATTCGAGTACTTGAAATTTGTACAACGCTCTAGAAACAATTCAACGCGCTCGAAACCCCGTAACAGATCGGATATAAATCATCCCGTGTTCGCGAAATCATTCTAAAGGTTTTTCACTAAAAAGCCTTCGTGTGTCTCGAGAGAACATGGCGGGCTACGGAAGTGAGTACTGGCAAAAATAAATTATATTCGTGTTAGACTTCTGTCCACGGGATATACATTTCTGCTACTCGAGGAAGGAGAAACGAAAAAGAAGCTTGCCTCTATAGGTTTCGTCACGATATAACGTTCGTTTAATCACATGAACCTTAATAAGTACCAAGTGCCTAATGTAAGGTCAACATTCGTGATACCCTGAAACTACCCACGTTAACAGGTAGAAGAAAGAACTCTGTACCGAGTTCACCGTATACTTTTTCTTCTCTCTTTCTCTCTCACTCACTCACACTCTTTCTCTCTCTCTCTTTCTTTCTCTCTTTCTCTTCGTCTCGATCGAGAACCTTAAATAAATATGCGGATACCATGAACGGCGAAAGGTTCGTCGGCTCGGACCAAAAGACGCGAAGCAGGAGAATGCGAATGGCAAGTTAGGTATCTATACACAGGACGTATCTTACATAGAATAAAGGTAAAATTAGTTTTCCTCCAAGTTTAGACCATTTTAGAGTCGCGATAGCCCGGAACATCCTATATTTCGTTGACGATCGTCATTGTATCTGCAACAGAAGGCGAAAACAACGATTAGGAAACGCCAGCCTAGAAACAGGAACAATGAAACGAAACGATTAGAAGAAGCTTGTTTGTTATCGCGAGCGAAGCCAGAAGAAACTATCGTCCGCTGTTTTTATCGTTAAAGTACAGAATCTCTTAAGTATCTATCGCATCTTCCGGAAAGCTGAATTTCTCGCTCGTTAATTCATTGTTCCTATTAAATTACTTTTAACAGCGATGAAGGACAGAGGAACCGGGGTAGGAAGCGAGGTAGAACTTTAACTTCCGGTAAGTAAACTGTATTATCAACTTTCTCGGTAGAGATAAAACACACGAGCGGAGAATCTGAACTTTTAACGACTACGAGGCACAAGGCAACGCCTTCTTGTTTCGTTTTAATCGAATTACAAGGTTTCATCCCTTCGCGTGCGCGTGATCGTAGTCCAGGGAAATTAAACAAAAATATGGCCAATCCTCCGAATAATCTCCAGCAAGCTTCGTTTCGATGTTTCAGATAATATCTCGAAAGTCCCCGTGGATGTGACCGCGGATAATTTTAGTCATAGGCGAAAAATCGGTACCTTGCTGGAAATTACTTTGGAGATTACTTCAAAAGGCGTTTAAAGGTTTAAAGGTTAGAACAAAGTTTGGATACATTATAGAGGTTTTATATCTTTAAAATTAGTTGAAAGACGAGTGTGAAAGTAGTTAGCTGGAGACTTACCGGGTCAACGGGAACAAGAAGTTTCTGTCTGGTGTACACGCGGACGCAGACTTTTACGTGTTGATGTACAACTGATGATGAGCCTGGTGTTGACTCTGGTGGGGATGTTGCAACGAGTGTTGATGCTGATGCTGATGAGGATGTTGATGCTGCAGCGTGGGGTGTCTCGCGTTGAATCTCACGCTTCCGGCGAGAGAACTTCCTCTTCCATGGGTGCCGACCACGCTCGGTGTGTCCGACAACTCGTCGTCCTCTGCACCGAGACTACGGAACCTGACGAAGCCGTCCTCGGCGACCAGCATCGTCGAACCTGTGGTCGGTGTTTGCTCGTGCACACCTTGCACCGGTGTGTGTCTACCGCGGCTCTCGGAGCTCCTCAGCGTTTGTATTCCATTACCGTGCCGGTTTAACGAGCCGCGACCTTCGTGTGGGAAATGGCCCATGGTACCTGACTTGCGAATGGAATGTCTCTCGAAAGTACCTGCGACAATGAAACTATTATTTAGCATACCGTTTCTCTATGCGCTTGAAAAAAAGAATTTTTCCTTTTTCGACGGTTCGTGCTCTGTATCTCGTTTACTCGAAACGAATAATTAGGTTTACGAATCTTATTGTTACTTTTTTACATTTTAATACGCTCGTTGCGGATGCTGCGAATTTATATCTTATTTAATCTCCCGAGACCTCGGACGGTCTCGACCTATTGTCGTCACGATGCGAGTATTTCGGTACCGACGATAAATATTGAAAACTCAGAAACATCGATAATATCAATGGACACGAGTTGAGAATGTAACGCGCGACGATGCAACAGATAATTAAAAACGATGTGGACATCAATGTTAATGTTGGTAATAGTAATTGAATCTTACGTACATCAGCAATGCGGATATTCGGTGCATGCAGAGAACGTGTTA